CAGTCCTGAGGATGATAGGAGAGTTGGGTTTCAGGGCGTAAGATGCCTTTATGCTGCTTTAGCATGTCTCTCAATTTATATCCAGCTATAAGTTGCAAATTCTTTCACTGCCAGTTTAAATCTTGAGTATGTGTCCTTAACTTCTGAAGTTCTCTCTGCGCATGTTCAATCATATGAACTAGATTTTCATTATATACTTTCCAGGCATTACATCCCTGCTATGGTATTAGTTCCACATTATCAATTTGAACTGCTTGATGCTCTAACTGAGCCATAGAAATGTTTACATATTCTTGCCATCCAGTGATGTCATTTTTCTGATCTGAGGAAGGGGCTGATAGCTCATGTCATTTATACTGAGCAATTCAATTGGTTGTCAAGCAGCCAGTATTTCAGATTCATTTCTCATTATGTCAGTTTTGAAAGCAGAATAATCTGGGGCTGTTAAAGTAGCTCAGGTAGTTTTTAGTAGGTTAGTATCTTTGAGTTTCCTTCTCTACCAGCGCTGCAGCTACTTCCCAAATGCCTGGTGCTTCATAGCCTCGGTCAAAATACAGCAGCGCATACACTACTACATGTCTGGCCACCAACTTCATGCCTGCCATTGCAAGGACAATAGTCTTGCCTATGTTTTCTGAGTTTTGATGGAATTTTCATCAAAGAAAGCAGCACCTTAGGTCTCCTGACACTCCCCAAACAGCAAGCTTACTCATAGAAGCTGGTACCCATCATTAAAATGTAAGTTAAACTGTAGTGTATTCATTCAACAGATAACACATAACACTAAAATTGAATGACACAGAGCAAACTCAGTGAAAAAAAGAAGGGAAACAGGTTCCCTTTTTTTATGTGTTCAAAAATAGGCAAAACTAAGTTGTTCCTTACAGATGCCCATAAAGGTTTCTGTATTAATTACTTGCCCATCATTGAGACAAAATACCAGATACCAACTTAAAGGAGGAGCGGTTTATTTTGGCTCACGGTTTTAGTGGGTTCAGTCCATATAGCTTGCTGGCTCCAAGGCAGAAACTACAAGGCAGACCAGCATTGTGGAGGAAACATGTTCACCACATGGTGACCAGGAAGCAGAGAAAGTAAGAGAGAGGGAGATCACACCTCCAGTGACCATTTCCTCCAATCAGGCCCCACCTTCCAACAGCACATTCAGTTAGATCCAATTATCTTTTAAAAGCCCCACCTCTGACTACATGAGACTAGCACATTTTAGATCTAAACTATTAACAGTTTTGTTCAACTGCACTGAAGTTTAGGGAAGGGCGCCCAGGCCCAGGAAAGGCCACATTCTGTTTTCTTACCTGGTAGTAGCACACAGGTAGGTCGGACATAGGAAGAGAGTGAAATGAGCATGCAAGCCAGAGAAGGAGGAGTGAAGAGACCAGTTCTGGTCTCAACACCCTCTGTATAGCAGCTGGGTGACCCCTCTTGGGACCAGTTTTTCACCTATGAAATGAGAATGGAATTGTGAGGGCGTAAGACAAGAAAATACACAAAGCATAGAGCTTAGAAAAAGCTGTTATTCCTGAGGATGCCTCCCCACAGGAAATCACCTACTAGTATGGAGTCGCTTATATCACTGCCAGTGGCTTTGGGCAGGAGTTTCACTGACGAAGGAAAAACAGGTCAGACTCAGGCCACACCACCCCTTCTCTACTACTGAGTCAGAAGCTCCCTCTACCCTTGGCTGCGGGAACTCTCCTTTTACCCTGGGGACCTCCTACCTCAGGCCATAGGCACAGGGCTGCTCTGTAAGTTGATGCTTGTGTACTCTGTGAGGTCCTGGAATCATTCCTACCTTTCAACTGGGCAGAGTCCTCTGTAGAGAGATCAGAGTCTTAACTGTGCAGCAGTTGCTGAATACCTCAGTTTGAAACACAGAAAAGATGAGAAATATCTGTGGCAAAAATAACTGGCAGATGAAACACAGACTTGGCCACCCAGGCCAGTTGCTTTAAGCATCCTCCTAAGGCAAGAAGAGGCCCCACAGCCAGCAGCACCTCCCCAGGGAGGGGAGGAAGGCAGTGGCTACAAAGAAGCCACCGCCTTAAGTTGCCTGCTCTGACACTCCCAAAACAGCAATGTTAAGGAGCTGGAGCCACTGAGCCTCTACTCCCTCCCTCCCTCCCGCTGTACCTCTGCCAAAGTCGCTGTCATTCCTCACTCAGTCAGTTCCACCCTGGATATCCACCTGTGCAGCAGAGCCTGTGGTTGAGAGTACCAGTTCCTTGCTCTGACCTGTTCCACCCCTGGGCTCTCAGCCCAGCCTCAGCTTCTGCATCTGCAAAATGGGCTAGTTTCAATTCCTACTTTTTGAGAATGTCTTGGTAACTAGTGGGAAAACATACATAGCCCTTAGCCCAGTGACAACACATAGTGAGTGCTGGCATTAACTCAGCCCCTGCAGTCAGAAGGAAGCAGGCTGGGCTGGGGAAGAACTGAAGGTGAGGTCCTGGCAGTGGCTGGTTAGAAGGGGACAGACAGTAAGACACTGTGAAGGGAGAAAGATGCCACTGTTAGGTCCTACAGGTGAAAACTGCAAAACCAAGGTATCTCTCAAATCTTGTCTGTAAGGTGGCCCAGGTGAGAGATGGGGCTTGCAGACCCACACCAGGGAAGGAGGCCAAGGCCAGGCGAGTGGGAATTACTTGGGCTTCTGAAAGGGAGGGGCAATGGAGAGCTGGCCAAGGGGGCCTGAGAGAACCAGAGGGGAAGAGAAATAGGAGACCAAGAAGGGAAGGTATTAGGAGGATGAGAAGAGGGATTTTGGAGGAGAAAGAGGCACAGGGGTCCTTGGGGGAGAAGTTACATGGGGGGGTGGGGGGGTGGGGCTAAGTTCTGAGTAGGTCTGAACAGTTCGGGGGCATGAAAAGAAAAGCAGCAGCTGGGGATGTGGTATGCTGACCGAGGACCCCGTGTGGACAGGGAACTTGGGGCGGGTGGGAGGGAGAGGGAAGTTTGTGTGTCCCTCTTAACCTCCAGGGGCCCTGCTCTGTGCTCTCATACAGCCACAAAGTGGCTGGGCCGCAGGGTGATACTGGATTCCAGTTGAGGGGAGGCCACGGTCACCTGGCAGAGGTGGGGACCAAGTCTCTGGACCGTGGGACTGACTCCTGGATAACCATCCCTGAGACGGTCAGGACTCGAGCTCCCTGTGTGGTGATGCATCCAATGTGTAGCTCCGTGGATCAATGCAGCAACAGCATGATGTCATGATGTGAGAAGTGAGGACCAAAGAGCTGGGCCAGCCACTCAATACTGGAGAGGGACAGGGCAAGGAACTCCAGGGGAAGCAAGACAGCCCCTGCCTGGCAAACGCAAAGTCCGGGTTCAATCCCCAGTACTCCAACAAAAAGACATCCTCCAGCTGGAGGAACCCCAAGCTTTGGGCACAAGCTGACAGTGCTGCTGCTCATCTGCCTCCTCTGGGCTTGAGGGGAATGGGCCTCTGAAGCCACTGCAGTGCCACCAACCACTGGCAGCTTCACAGTCCCACACAAGCCACATGCTCCAAGTCCTTAGTTCCATGACTTGGCCGATCAAGAGAAGTAAGGCAAAGTAGAGTAACAGTATCTGACTGCCCCTCTAGCCCTAACTGTGGAGCCCCACCCCACTGTTCTTGTCAAGTGAAGTGTGCACTCTTACTTCACAGGGTGTGCCAAGGAAGAGAGGCCATACATGTGAGGAACTGCATGCAGTGCCTGGCACGGCCTAAGTGTGAGCTAGCTAATGCTGTTCCTATGCATTATAAAATCACATTTAAAGCAGAAGGCAGAGCCAGGCATGGTGGCACACAGCTGTAACCCTGGCACTCTGGGAGGCTAAGGCAGGAGGAGCACAAATTTGAGCCTAGCTTGGGCAACTTAAAGAATTAGTAAGAGCCTGTCTCAAAATAAAATAATTTAAAATGCGCTGGTGATGTAGCTCTGAGCAAAGGCTCTGGGTTTAATCTCCAGCACACACACACACACACACACACACACACACACACACACACACACACACACACACACGCAAATATTAATAATAAATGAAACAGAAGGCAAGGCCCTTTGTGGTGGGAAGGGCCGGAAAACAGCCTGGGGCAACCTTAGTGTGGTCCCCTACCTGTTGTGCCAGTAGCACTGGCAATGATAGAAATGTTCATGCCTGCTACTGAGTCAGAGATTGTAACGCAGGCCAGAAATGTGCTCAGCCAGCCTTGCTGGACTCCTGGGGAACCTCCACCCAGGTGGCTCTGGATAGGAGCTGCCAGAACTGCCTGCCGGTTCCGGGCCCTCCCACACAGGCAGGACCACACAGAGAGGACACTGTATCTTTCCTAGACTTCTTGCTCAGAAGGTTCCCAAGATAGTCATGTCCTACCCCTCCTGGCCTCCTTCCATTTGGAAGGACAGCCCCAAGTCACCTCTCCAGAGGACAACTGCTGGTGACTGGGTGGCCCTGATGAACGGAGATGTAAATCTATACCAGTTTCCAGGTGAACCAGCACGATGGGGCTTTCTCTGTAAGTGAAAGCAGTCTGGGGGCCTTAAGAGACAGAACTAATCCCACGAGCCAGCTGCCTGTTAGGAAGAGGTGAGGGCATCTGTGCTGGGCCATCGTTGGCTGACCTAACAATTAAACCTCAGAAGTAAGATGCATGGACTTAGTGCAGAGCTGTAGTTCCAGCTACTCGAGAGGCTGAGAAACAGATGGGTTGAGCCCAGGAGTTCAAGGCCAACCTGGGCAACATAGTGGGACTTTGTCTCAAAAGAAAAAAAAGACTGAGGACCTTGATGCGGGATTTCTTTTTAAGAAATCTGTATGCTAATTTCAGAGGAAGAAAAAGCTGGTCATTGCTGTGCAGCTGACAGAGGCCCAAGGGTGGGAACAAGTTACACACTGTCATTAGAAACAGCGTTCTGTGAGAAAAACTCTTTCCACATTTCTGCGGAGTTCTGGAAACATCAACCAACAAGCGGGAAGCACAGCATGACCACAGAGACACTTACAGAGCCTGTTTATTGCATAACTAGCAGGCACAGATTCCAAAACGAGTTTACAATATGTGACGGGTCCAATAATTACAAGAACAGGATGTACAATAAAAATGAGAAATAAGTACAGAATAATGAGTGACAGGCATAAAACACATTTGAATAAAAGGCATCTCATTTTTCCTATGCAGCATTTTCCTTTGTAAGAACAAGGGTTATCCTCAACTAGGACAAGGAAGGAAAGAAAATGGGCTATCGGGAAGCTCACAGGGACTGCTGAGGATAAAAACATGCAGCTTCACTCTCGAGTCTACGACTCATGTCACCTGAGGACTGGGAAGCAGCTCCTGAGTTGTGCGTTTCAAGTTCCAATTTTATGAAATGCTGTCCTTGATCTTTGGGCCCACTGCATTGTTCTTTGGCAAGGAGGAACTATCTGCATTCCAAAGTGGAAGATGAGTTCGGTGCCAAGGAGCTCAGAGGTAGAGCTGCTTCCTTGTTTAGCCAAGTGCCAGCTCATAAAGTGCACCTCTGTCCCATCAGTTTCGGGGAAGAAAGGGGGAAAAAACACAAGACAGGCTGTAGAGTGGCTTGTGCAAGGCAATGGGATCCATGTGCAAAAGGGGCTGGAACAAGCATGCAGACAAGGTGTGACCTGCCAATAGGAGCAGAAAACTCTGACACCAGGTCTCAGCCGAGGCTATGGAAATGTGTGGGACATGTGGCCCTCCCACTGCCTTTGCTCCACCTGGGAACTCCTGTCTGAGTCTGGCACTACAGGTTCACCGGGCAAACTCTTCTGTGGTGTTCTCACAGCTATAAATACTTTGTTAGTCCCTACATTCCTTGAGTTCACCTAGGGGCGTTAAGGACAATGTTCTCTGCTGCAGGCACTTGGGTGTACTGCCCACTACTCCCTTCCCAGAGCCTCTGTAACAGAGACCTGTCCTCCCTGGGAAGCCAGGGGCACTGGCTCAGGATTGCCACTGGGCCTTTCTCAAGGACCCTGGGGAGCCTGACAGAGGGGCCAGGTGTTTGCAAGGAAGAAGAGGGACAGTTAAGTCCATGAAGCATGCAGACAAAGGTGTCAGGCAGTGGTTGAGCTTAAGGTAGGAGGCCCCTTCTAGAAGGCATCTCCTGAGCATCCAACAGTGATGCAGCACTTAGGGCTGTGTGGACATGTCAGTGGCCGAGTCTGTTGGAGAGGTGACCCTTGTCCCATGCTCTTCACAGTATAGCAAGCCAGAGCAGCACACACCGTGACCTAGTAAACCCAGCACCATAGTGGTGCTATGTTCAATGACAGTGTATGATCAACCTGTAAAGGTGTTCATCAGTCAAGTCTGAAGACAGAGGCTTGGTCAGCACATGAGGAGATGACCAGTACTTTGATCATTTTGACTTCTTCATGAATGACTCTGTGGGACAGAATATATGGGTAAAAAGAGGGCCAAAGGCAATTTAACAGAGGGTAAATGGCAGTCTGCCAGGTCCCGCTCAGGGGTGAATGCAGTATGGCTGGGGAGATGAGGCCCTTATGCTGCACAGCTTATAGGCCCTGCATGGGAGCTGTGAGTGGCAGCTTAGAGGTCACAGCTCACCTGTGCAGTTTCTGTGAACATGTCCGGAGTGGTTGCCAACATTTTTAATTAGAGGTACTTAGATTTCTGGTGTCTCTTGAAAAAAAAAATCAAAGTTTTTCCACTGGCAACATGAGTGGAGTGGGGAAACTGTTGTCCTTAATGGGTGGCCAGGGCTCCCCAGATGGCCTCCCTGCCCCCAACTCATGCCCCCTGCTGTGCACTGGGCTCACTTCATAAGCACATTGCCTGCTCCATCAGGTCAAGGACTGAGCCACCTCACACAAGACCCCTGCAACGAGCAGGACAAGAATATGGTCTAAGAGAACAAGAAAGGGCTTCTGAGCAATTTAAAAACACAGCCTCAGCATATTCTAGATTTCGACCTCTACTCTTTCATAGCTTTGGGACAGCTGTGGTCAGGCAGGCATACTCTCCACGGAGTTCTTGAAAGAACTCTCATGACTGGTTGCTAAGTACCAGCAACGTAACGGGGAGAAACTAACTCGGATGATTGTTTGTTTACATCTTACCTTAGAAGTCCTTACAGATGATGGGACATGCGAAGCAGCTCACCTGAGGAAGCTGTCAGTGGTTAAGGGAGTAACTGAGTTTTGGAAGAGAGGCACAATGCAATGTCAGTTCGTGGCAGTGATACCTGAATGGGTGGTACAAAATCAGTTATGGCTTGTTAGATTGATGCTTCTCTTTGCCATACGTTCTAAACGAACTGTCTGGCTTAGCGGGTAAGGCAGAGTGCTTGACAATGGGTGACAGATGACGGGTGTGCTCCTACCCTGAACCGTGGTAAACGGGACATGATGAGGAGGGCGAATCTATCTTTCTATGGAGACTTTAAGATGATGGTAAAATAGAAACAGAAAATCAAGATTAAAAAAACCTAACAGAACATTTAACACGATACAACAATTAGAAATGGAGCAATTCATTGTTTCCTCCAACAGAGGTTGTTACACTATTTTTAGAAAATGGCAAAGTCCTTTCTCTGCATACATGCTTGGAGATACCCCAAACTTAAAGAGATTTTGCAGGATGAAAAATTCACTTATTGCACAATGCTTCGTACGGAACAGGTAATGTTGATTTTTTTTTTTTTTTAAAATCCAACTCTTTCAAGAAAATGTTTTACTAAAATATCTCATTTATAGTTTTATCCATAGGCAGGAAGTTTTAAGGGATGGAAAAGTTTTAACAAATTTTGAGCAATGGAACTATTTTTGGGTGCATACGATCATGACCTCAATAGTCACAGACAACACAACAGGACATCAGAAACTGAACTGGTAAACAGGCACGAAATAAGGCAAGTGGGTTAAATTAATAGTCAAAAATTTGTTAGAAAACATGCAAAAATAATACTGAGTTTTCTTTTAAAAAGTTTTGAACTGTCATTAAATGTTTTTGTAAAAATCTGAAGAGTTCCATGTCTAAATCTGAAATCAGACTTTAAAAAGCCCAGAAAATACACGGGATAGTGCTCCGCTGCTCAGTTGTTGTTCTCTTTGGTGGTGATGGTGACCAGCTGTTTGGCGGCCTTGGCAATGTCATAGGCACACTGGATGACCTGCTGTGTGACCAGCTGGACGTCGGTGGGTGAGCCAGGGTCCCCTGGGAGGGCTTTCTTGCACTCTGACTGCAGCCGGTAGGCACTGGATGTCAGTAAACGAAGGGAAGTCCTCACTGTGTCAGACTTGGGTTTCTAAACACAAAGACACAGCCGTTCGTCATGGGCTGCAAGGTGTACATCCACTACCAAGGGACAAGCATGCTCCTGAAAACAATTCAAGTTGTTCTATATGGCCACAAGCATTTTTGTTTCGCATTTTTTCAACAGGGGTGGCTTTAACCATAGAGCGCTGTGCAGCCCACGATACAAGAGATGTAAAAATGCACTGACTTAAAGGATGAAGTACATGCAGGATAATTTCAGTAGTATGTGCTATTTATTTTGGGGTAGTTTTCAAAAATACTAACCCACGTAGGTCACTCTTTTTTTTTTTTTTTTTTTGGTTTTTTTGAGACAAGGTCTCGCTGTGTAGCTCAGGCTGGCCTTGAACTTGTGTCAGTCCTTCCTGCCTTCAGTTTCACGAGTGCTGGTATTATAGGTGTATCCCACCACATCCAGCAGCAGGTTACATATTTCCGATAAAATTTTATTCTATTAATGTTTTGCCTTTTAGTATTTGACTTGTATATCCTTGTCTTATAATTATTGTCTAGGCTTTTTGAGACAGGGTCTCACTATGTAGACCAGGCATGAGCCACCTCTCCTGACCTTCCTTTTCTTACTAAAGTCAATATTCATGTAGAACAAAAATATTCCCATGCCCTATATGATTGCATATTTAAAACTCTATGTGCTACAAAACAGTTAATGTAAAGGTCATAAAGAAATTTGTTCATTTGAAAGGATCTAAGAAAGTGAGTTGGAGGTGACTTACTTTGGGGAATAATGCTGCCATTTCTGTAACTGCTACATGTATCCTCTCTGAGCAGGGAATATAACTGCAAAATATTGAAGAGGTTATTTAAAGACAGTCAAAATGATTCCAAGGCAGAGAATTCTCAGGGACCAGAAAATGTCCTGTTTGCATTCTTTTAATGAAGGAGCAGAAGCTGCAGCCCACCCGCCATGTATCACACACCAAAAGGAGGCACACAGTTACAAAGCAGGGTCACATTTACTATTGGCTGGGGGAGGCCACAAAGCAGTATACAGACATTCACACACCTCCTCAAGTTGGTCCCTTACTTCTCACATTTTCCATCTCCCTAATTTCCACAGAGACAAAAGAAACAAGGATTTCCATGCCAAAGCCCACAAAAGTGAAAAATAAAGGACTGAAAAAATTCCTTGAAATTATAATTGGAATCTACATGTTTAATACCCGGGTGCCATTTAACCAATGGACACTTCTAAATTTCTTTCATTCATGTAAATGTTGGGGAGTCTAAATCTTTACTTTGTGTAAACAGAAAACATTGAGGTCTGCTTCCCATATTCACTCAGACACTTCACTGCTTTGTCACAAAGCCGCCATATGCTTGCTTGTGAGAAGATGCTATTAATGCTGTCAGCACTTTCTTTCATGTTGATCAGCTCTAAGAAAACAAGCCCATTAAATCCTTCCTTCCAGGTCACTAGGACTTTCAGGCCCCACATGTGACACAGCTTTTAGAGCCTCACTTAACAGTATGGCTCTGTGAGGTTGGCCCAGACAAGAAGACATGACAGAATCTCAAAAATGTAAGAGAAGGGCTGAGCTTGAATGCAGGGGCCTCAGACTGCCATCTTTCTTTATAGCAAGCCTCTTTCCCCTCACGGGTGGTCATCTAGCTTCTTTTTTTTTTTTTGGTACTGGGGATCGAACTCAGGTCCTTACGCTTGTGCAGCAGGCGGCGAAACCACTGAGCTAAATCCCCAGCCCAATCTAGCTTCTTGTGATAAGAAAGGACAGAATTAAGACTGGTTTTATTCAGGATTTTTTTTTTTGTTTGGTACTGGGGATCAAACTTGGGTCCTTGCACTTGCAAGGTAGGTGGCAGAACCAATGAGGTAAATCCTCGGCCCTTATTCAGGATTCGTATTCTTAGTACTTTACAAACTATGGATGAGGAAAGTTTCCTGTACCTCAAAAATGTTAGGATTTCCTCTTGAGGAGTATGCAGGGTGCAGACAGATAAAAAATAGCTGGGTAGGGGTGTGGCTCGGTAGCAAAGCATGTGCCTAGCATGAGTAAGGCATTCAATCCCCAGCACCATAAAAAACACAATCAGTGGGGCCGGGTATTTAGCTCAGTGGTTTCGCCACCTGCTGCGCAAGCGCAAGGACCCAAGTTCGATCCATGGTACCAAAAAAAAAACCCAAAAAACAAAAAAAACCACACAATCAGACGATGGTATCAAGTGACAGTTCTTAGATACGACATTGTTGCTGAGTCTGGGCTTTGTATTCAGGACTCACCCACAATCCAGGACATGGGAAAACAGAAAAGCACTCTTGGGCTGTTTGTAGCATGTTAGGAAATACTGCTGTGAACACTGTAGGTTTGGCCTGACACAAGAACCCATGGGGCTGTGTTTTAAATTTTTCCTTCTAAAACACTGAACCAAATGCCACTCAGCATCCATCATAGACTTAAAGCCCTCAAGGAAAATTCTTTCCCCATTTTTTAAACCACGAAGTTGGATTCTGAATAAAAATTATCATAAGAAATCTCTGTCAACTTTCTAAGAAATTCAGTATCAAAGCTATTTTAATTAATACTGCCTACATTTTAATTAAAGCCATTATCAGGGCCGGGGATTTAGCTCAGTGGTTCTGACACCTGCCTTGCAAGCTCAAGAACCCGAGTTCGATCCCTGGTACCAAAAAAAAAAAGCCACTATATTTCAAGAAAATGGTTATAATTTTCTAAAAATGCTTTCAAATGGAAAATCCCAACTTTTACTTTTGTGAGCAATTAGATCCATACATATACATACTAACCCAAAATGTCAGTGCACAAGAAGCAACTTGCAGATGTGAAGGGACGAAAGCCCACCTAGTCATACAGACTCTCAGAAAGAGGAAAGGCCCATGTCCACAGCAATCACTTGTTCCTATTAATATCACAGCAGCTGAGGGCTAAGGATTTAGCTCAGTGGCACCAAGTCTGCCTCAAAAGCTTGAAGGCATGAGTTCGATCCCCAGTACCAAAAAAAAAAAAATCACAGCAGCTGAGAGCCATGCTCAACAGTTTCATCCTATATTTTGTTATCCTGGTTGCAGTTTCGTTTTGAGAAATATAACTCACCCTTTCTCCACTAGATAGAGAAGGAATTTTTCCTAAGGCCATCTCTGGAAAGTTTACTCCTTACAATTATTTTGGGAAGTTCTGGGAAGCCACAAAAGAAAGTGTGTGAGGAGGTCTCTCTCTCAGAGAGAGTTTGTGTCTACAACTTCAAATTGGCACCTTTCATCAACTAAAGCTTTTGTGCCTAATATATTGTAATCCCTGAAAAGAGAACAAGTGAGGCAGATGAGGAGGAGGGGCTACAGGAAGGTCAGGGGTTGAGGGGAACTTGGCAGGCACAGGGAACCAGGACCAAGCCTAGAAGTCCCTGCATGGACTATAGTTCTATCTAGGATGAGCTTCAGCAACAGATCAACAAAAGTAGAAAGCAAGAGAAACAGGCAAGGCTTTCATTAGTACAATGCAAGGTTATAAATGAAAGCATCTTGGCTGTATAAGTAATCAGAGATTCTAGTAGAAACTGAACAATTTATAAACTATAAATTCCCTAGGCCAATTCTGGTTTTAAACCAAAACCATAAGCTAGTGGTTAAAATCTCTGCATCATTCCCTCATAGTCTTAAAGAAATAAATCAGATCATGAAATGTGCTAAGTGGATTTTTACATCTTGAAAAGAATCTTCCCGAGTTGAACCACCACCATATTGCAATCTCTGAAGCCAGAAAAAGCCTCAGGATAGACATTTACATTTTTGACAACTATCAAAGAAAGCTGTACAGCGTAAGCACATTTTTAGTTTGAAATACCAACACAGCAGTTCTGAACTAGCAGAAAGGAAAATTTGAGCACACTGATAAATAGGGTGGGGAGTACACAGGAAGGAATTATCCTTACATCAAGATTAATCAAAACACTGTCAAAATTGTACTGCAGAAAGTTATAGGACACTTTGCTCTGTACAGTAAGATATGGGATCACCCACTGCCATGGCTGTGGCACTGGGCAAAAGTACTAGGTGCTTACAAGATTCGAGGTGAGTGAGAGGCTTGGCAGAAAGAGAATGCCTAGGAAATGAAGAAGGGAAATAGCAACAAACTTTCTGCAAAAGGAGGCTGTGGAATTGTGCAGGCTTTTCTTTTCCTTGAGGAGCTTCTAGCTGTCCATCCATGGAGACTATTTTTTTTTGGTACTGGGGATCGAACTCGGGTCCTTGCGCTTGCGCAGCAGGTGATGAAACCACTGAGCTAAATCCCCGGCCCATGGAGACTATTATCTTTCAAGAAACACACATTATTTTTCTCCTCTATAGTGGGAAATTATACTGGGACAAATAAGAGCTGTATAAATAAGAAAGAAGGTACAGACAGAAGGATGGCACAGCAGTGTCAGGAACATAGAGAATCCAGGAACGGACACATCTTTTTTTCCCCTTGTGGAACTACAGATTGAAACTAGGGCCTCATAAGTGCTAGGCAAACTTTCTACCACTGAGCTACATCCCCAGCCCTTTCCATCTTGAGACAGGGTCTCAAAAAGTTGGTTAGCTTGCCCAGGCTGGGCTTGAATTTGTGATCCTCCTGCTTCAGTCTCCTGAGTAGCTGGGATTGCGAGCATGGGCCTCAATATGGGGCACAGCTGCATCTTTATGAAGCAGAATGGAGTCAAGAGAGAGAGCAGCACTGTGTTCCTAGAAGGCCTTCTGTCTGTACAAAGGGTGCGGGTTCCTCACTGCAGTCCTCAGCTTTGCGGTCCCAATACGTGATGTCATTCTTGGCAAAGAACAAGTGCTGCTTTCTCAAACCCAAAGGGGAGATGGTAAACAATGTTTTATGAGTGCATCTAGGTCCGACCCACCATGGGAAATCAGGACATCCTGGAGAACATTTTACAACTACCAGAATTCTCAGAGAACAAAGGATCAGTAGAGCAAGGGCCAGTCCCTTCCCTCCAGTAAGAAATCACTGTGGGCTATGCTTCTGATCTAAGGATGCAGACTCTCCCTTTGCAGCTGAGAATCTTAGAAGTTTATACATGCACGTTTGCACACACACACCAAGGAAGACAGGTAAGAAATAAGAGAGCAGGTTCCTCTCCTGATGTCATCTGTCTCAGCAATCATATCCCTGGCCGATGGCAACCTTGGCAGCAGCGGTGGCCAGAAGAATCAACCTGCACATTGTGAGGCAGCTTTTCCTTCTCTGCTGAGAACTAGGACTGTCACTACCTAAACACACTGCAGTTTTTATTTCTGGGCACATTTATTTCAGGGAGTTTCATAACACAATGGAGAAAAATAAAAATACCATATAAATACCCCTAACAAATAAAACCAAACTTACATGTTTGTTCTTAAGTTTTCACCTATCTAAAAGCCAGGAAATTAGAAACAAGTCCCATTCAGAACTTCAGCAGACTTCCCTCTTGGAGCATGAATACCTGCTCTCCCAGCATAGGACTACAGCTCCTTACCTGTCATGTTTATTTTCCTGGGCTGCTCTTAAGAGTTCCTGTATGTTTTTGGTGATCTGTTCAGTCTTCCGGATGACGTCTTCGGTGCTGGGGAGTGTGGGGCTTGGGGATGTGTGGGGTTCTGTTGCATCTGGTACTGAGCTATCAGCTGGCCACACCATACTCCTCTGCCTGCCCTTTCGACCTGACCTGTGAACAGTAAAGAAGTGGCTGAGTGTGACAGGTGCCTGGTAGCTGCTTTGGTTTCTGAGAGCCACATCTTCAGCACTGGCTGAACACACAAGCAGGCTTGTTTTGTGGTTTCCCTTATCCTGTCTAGCAGGAAACTCATGGCAAGGGCCTGCTTCATCATCTGGCAGCTACAGATTACCCAGAGGCTTTCTCCTTCTACCCTTGGGCTGAAGTTAGGACTCTCACAGAAAGGGTGAAGACAGGAAAGGGAGTAACTGGAGTGTGAAGCGTATGTCATTATAAAGCTACCTTGAGTGAAGACAATTCCTTGGGGGTACAAATGGGTGTAACCTAATGTCAACTTCACTAAGAAGTAAAATATTAAGTGTGCTGCAAATCCTGAGAGATGTATCTAACATGCTGGTAAAAGGACAAAGAGCCCTTGTGGCAATGATGTGAGTTGAGAAGCACATATGGTACAAACATATGCGTGAATTTTTAAGACCTTATAGGTCTGAAAACAAGGATAAGGGCGGTAGGTGGTCAAGGCCTGCAGGCCTCCCGTCCCCCCCAGCACACTCTTCCCACAGATGTACCCCATGTCATCTGGCTCCATGTCATTGGGAGTGTTGTCATAGTCACTCTCAGGGGTGCTGTTCTGTTTCTCCAGCCTGGAAGCCTACAAGCAAGGGAAGGGACCACATTAGTTTAGAACATGAGATGCTGCTTCACAGGGAAGCAATATCTGTTAGGCACCCAGATTCCGTCTGGGATAGGAGCCAACCCTTTTCTGAAAATTTAGTGAAAGATGAACAGTGGATCCCAGACAACACTTTCTTTCTTTTGGCATTGTTTTCTTCTGCGCTTAGTGGCTACTCCATAAACAGATCCTTGGTACAAATTAAATAACAAGACATGCAAGTCTGTCTCATTTAGTTCTCAAAAGAATATGGAATTTATGAGATAATGAGACCCAGTCAAGACATGTAGCTGGGGACCAGGGATTTAGCTCAGTGGTTCCGCTACCTGCCCCACAAGCACAAGGACCCGAGTTCGATCCCCAGTACCAAAAACAAACAAACAAAAAAGACATGTAGGTGGGCACGATGGTGCATGCCTGTGATCCCAGCTGTTCAGTAGGCTGAAGAGGATCACAAGTTCAAGGCTAGCCTAGGCAATACCAAAACCCTGTCACAAAATAAATATTTTAAAAAGGGGGTTAGGAATGTAGCTCAGGGGCAGAGAGCTTGCCTAGCATGTGCAAGGCTGAGTTCAATTCCCAGTATGGGGGAGGGGGCATTGAGCAAACATCCCAGCACTTATATGACCACTGACATTCAGTGCTGAAAGCTACCTGCAGATTATCTGGTTTAACATCAGATGAGAAAACGAAGGGCCAAGAAAGCTGGGTGTCCACCTAAAGATGCATCTGTAGAAAAACAGATCAGGGTCCCAAGCCCCCCGTCTCCTCCTCAGGTATTTCCAATATTCCATACCTGGGGCTTGGATGACTGCAACTTTTTGAGAACTGCTTCAGAGACAGCATTTATGAAACACCAGGGAAAACTTGAAATATTACTTTATAGCCATATATTGTTTGTATGCAAAATGGATTAATGTGGATTGATCCACCACTTGAATCTGCTTCCAAAAATATTTACCTCTTATAATATAGATTTGGCCCAACAATGGAGATTTGAAAAATGGGATATAGATGTAAATGATGAATCCAAAAAATGTTTTGAGCAAATGGCAGCACTGGTAAATACAGGGCCTCCCAGGTTAACAAAATGTGAAGGGTACCACATCCATTGAAGGGGACTGTTAGCTCTGGAATGTTTAGTGAAAATTATTTTCCCTTGGTATCTATTTTATCCATAATGTTTGGAGAATTGCTCTATCTAGAATAGAAATTGGTGTAAGCAGATTCAAAACCTAAACTATCTTGCAAAATACAAGAGCTATTTCTAGTTCTATACCTAGAGTTTAATCCAACTTAATCGAAAGATGTGACTAAGGACTTATACTGACGCTATAATACAATGAGGCTAAGCGTATAACTGTAAGTTAAGAGCTTTGTTTAAAAACATGGAGACATCCTAGTTTCACCCAAAAGAATGGCTACTTCAGAGTAAGTCAGTTGAAGGATATCTACACAAGGTCGAATTATTTGCTTATTATCGATAGCATTGGCCAGTCCCAGGTGAGGGTGCCTCCTCAGTCACACTATATTTTGCTTCCCGTCCCCACAGCCTTTTTTCCTCTTCTAGGGTAAATGCTCTGGCTGCTGAGGCCCTTCCCATTTGTTATTTATTTTCTTTTTTTTTTGTTACCGGGGATCGAACTCAGGCGGCAGCACCACTGAGCTAAATCCCCGGCCCCTATTTGCTATTTAGATGTGCTACTTACTTCCTACTCATCTTATCTGAAGAGTCTTGCTTTGGGCTTCTAAAACTCAATATGAACTCTTACTTTATCCACTCAAATTCACCTCACAAATGATGAAAGCACTGGGTTAGAGCTATCTAAGGGAGTATGTATAGTTAAATTCTATGAAATGTTTTTTCCTTTCCCCAGTGCTGAGGATTAAACCCAGGGCCTGTGTACCAAGAAACTACACCCCAGCCCAGATACAATTTTAAGATCCCTTTATTTGCATCTCCTACCTATAAGTAGTTCTGCTTCACTTGCTGCCCAATTCTGATCTGGCTTTATGGGTGAATCAGTGGCTTATTGGCTACTAAGACTGGTTGGGAGACCAAAGGTGGATACCATGTCCAGTGCCATGAAATCAGGATCTTCCAGACATGATCTCAGAAAACCAAAACACCTCCCCCAAACCCGTCTTACCTTTCACAGGGAATGCTTGACTAACCTTTACATTTATTTTCTTTTTTTACATTTATTTTCTTTGTGTATATATTCACACACACATAAATAGAAAAAAATTGCATTTAAATAATTATACTGGAAAGTTCATCCAGAGCTGCTCCACGGGGGGGCGGGGGGGATCTAGAAAACAGAATTAAACCTAGAAAATTCCACATTTTTATAATGAATCTTTTCTCCTTCCTTGATGTAAATGTATTACTCAAAATGATAAAAAATATACCAAGTTTCATTTAAACATTTTAGTAATGACTCATATACCCACTACAAGTGCTCAGGAAATGTTCCTTAAGAACAGCCACCACCACCCAGAAAATCAGCTACTTACACATTAAGTCCTTCATTGATGTCAACAAAAGCATACACAATTTTCAATACAGCCAGTGTTTAATTTTATGAAAATTACTGTGAACATGCAGAGCCAAGAGCTACAGGTTAAAAGTTCTGCTCTCAAAGTTGTTAATAGAAAAGTTATTCTATAGCTGGTGCCGGTTCAGTTTATTTGATAGTTTTGCAGTTTTCTCTGAATACAGACATGCTATAAAAATTTTAAAACCATGATGAAGCTGTCAGGAATGGCCAGGATAGATCAGTTTAAATAACTACTGTCAATTTTGTATAAAACTATCTCAGCAAGGGCTGCGGATTTAGCTCAGTGGTTCCGCCACCTGCCTCGCAAGCACAAGGACCTGAGTTCGATCCCTGGTACCAAAAAAAAAAAAAAACGCTTCCGATGTTTGGGCCGGGGATTTAGCTCAGTGGTTCTGGTGCCTGCCTCGCAAACGCAAGGTCCCGAGTTCGATCTCCGGTACAAAAAAAACACAAAAAACAAAAACTATCTCAGCAAGCAGTCCTTGCAATGATTTTTTAAAAGTAAGTTTCATTTTTTATTTATTTATTTTCTGGTACCGGGGATTGAAGTCAGGACCTTTTGCTTGCGAGGCAGGCACGGTGCCACTGGGCTAAATGCCCGACCCCTTGCAATGATTTTTTTTTTTGGTACCGGGAATCGAACTCGGAACCTTGCACTTTCAAGGCAGGCACTGGAACCACTGAACTAAATCCCCAGCCCTCCTTGCAATGATTTTTGAAGCCACTAAAAATTTTTTTTAGAAAGAACAAAACTGCAGGGGCCAGGGATTTAGCTCAGTGGTGCCACCACCTGCCTCACAAGCGCAACGTCCAGGGTTCGATCCCCGGTACCAAAAACAAAGAAACTTCATAGGGGATAAAAGGTTTATTTGACTCTTAATAACAAAATTTCAAATGAGATATTTCATTACTATTTTGCTGTCCTTAGTTTCACTGGAATGAAAATATTATAGTTCAATGTCAGTTTGTTTTTGGTGCTGGGAACTGAACTGAGGGTCCAGGGTAAGCGCTCTACCATTGAGCTACATCCCCAGCCCTAATTTCAGAAGACTTTAAGTAATATATATTAAGAACTGCATTTAATAGACTACTTCAAAATACAGTAAAAAATCCAAACACTTCATCAACCCATATGCCCAGGGGATGGACAGAAGGATTCTCTATGATTTCTAGGTGTGGAGGGAATGGACAACAGTCCAGTGCAAATTCCACCTTGATTGTAAAGGCAGTCCCTCACCCACACCTTCTCTCCTCACACCTTTGTTACACTACCCTTCATTAAAAAACAAACAAACAAAAAACTGAGCCAGAACTGGGTAGTTTGTATCACTGAAAGCTCTAAAAGGTTCTCCATCACTGTCTCAGAGCATGGAAGTAATTATTCGTTTACTGATGGTGTCTTCCAGAACAGAGACTAAGCCACTTAAATCCTTAGGACCCTTTAACTGACTTACCAAAATACTGGGGATGAGTTGCTTAATAAATATGCATTGCCTAACTACTCCCAAGGAGCTACATAGGTCCTGGGCTGTTCTTGAGAGGGAGAATTATACACCAGCAAGCAGGGTCTGACCAACCAAGTAAAAAGCTTTATGCTCACAGCTGTCTGTACTCCTCCACTGCTGCTAAGTGTTACAATTCTCATTTAGGGTTCCAGGTCTCTAAAACCATGGCTTGTCAAGTCTAGTGCTGACATAAATACGTTGTTGTTGTTGTTTTATTTTTTATTTATTTATTTATTTTTAAGGCATAACATTTTTGTGCTAGTCCAAATGTAAGTTTTAATATGATAACTGTAGCTCTGAACAAACTGGACAGATTTGCCCTATACCAATATTTAACCAGAAGCCAGCTAGTTTTATGATTGTTTAAAAAGACAGCATAGTATGCTCAGAATAAATGTTATAGGGGGAATCTGTGATCTCTGTTAAACACAATATGCAAATGAGTAATGTGGAGTTAGACAAAAGGGAGATCACCTGTGCAATACGTGCGTGAGAACATGGGGTGCACAGCGGCTGTGCTGTGAGAAACCAGGAGGGAAGCGCTGCCTCATGCAGGAGGGAGGGCAGTTAGCAAGGACAGGGACAGAGGGGCCAGCGCAAAGCGCCCAGGAGCACTGCCCTTCCTCCAGAGCAGACCATTCAGAGTGTACTTAACCCTTCGGGTGGTTTCGTCCCTTGACCAGCAAAGTGTGGAGGGGAAGGAAGGCAGAGATGAAGAGGAGGTCACAAGCGCACTCCTCCCGATCTGGAAGGGGAAAGAGAAACATACTCGGGAAAACACAAAACAAACAAAACCCTGACCATTTGCCCTGGCTTCAGGAAAAGAATCCTAGAGAACAACGTACTCTATGTGAGGTGAGTCCTGAAATCTCAGTGACAGCTGGTAACAAGGCCCCAGTGACATTTACCCCTTGGTGAAATACCTCCTGGAAATTACCCTGAATTTAGTAAAGGCTACTTTTCCACATGGGAAAAGATAACATAACGTATGTGTCAAGTTTGCCAACAGTTATTTTTAATGGGTAGCCTAAAATGAATACTTGTTTTTCAATCAGGACTGGTAATATGAAATGAGAAACTATACATATGATTATTGGTTGGTGTACCCAGCACTCTAATCTTTAGTACTATAATTAGAGAACTTTTGCACTATGACACCCTTACATTCTGAATTTTTCTAAAATAAAAAAGTACACTGAGTGGGCCGGGGATTTAGCTCAGAGATTTCACCGCCTGCTGCGTAAGCACAAGCACCCGAGTTCAATCCCCGGTACCAAAAAAAAAAAAAAAAAAGTACACTGAAAGGCTCAACAGCATTTCCATTACACCAAATACATCAAATAAATCACCTTAACAGTGTTAAACCCAAAAAATTTAAAGAAAAGTTGAAATAATGGGCATATCATAATACTGCAATTTTACTACTCTTTTTTTTACCACTCTTAAATTTGACAAAATTATTCTAGCATTTAATTTAATAGACCATCTCTTTTACTTTGCATTTTTGAAACTCCTGTACAATTTAACTGGGTAACATTTTAACACTCAAAATGAAAAATAGTATTCTCTGAATAAAGCATCACATAAAGAAATTTAAAATTTTATAACATTTTGTCAAAACACAGATTTTTATAATAAATTAATCCAAAAGACACACAATATTTAAAAACCTCATAACATAATCCTTATAGCATTGTAAAACAAGATTGTTAGAACCCTATTACAGAACACAGTCTTTGGAGTTTAACCCTTGAAAGGTGCACGTAGCATTCTTCCACTGCATTTTCAGGAGATGACAAAGCCACACCTCCATTAGGGAGGGGGGCCGAGGATGCAGAGGCTGAGCCGGCAGGCACACTGAGCACAGTGGAAAGAACTTTCTGGACTTGCCAAAGTACCGGCCCACAGATGCTACCTGAGCACATGCCAACACCCAAAGAGGCAACTTGATTTTAAGGGTTTCAGTTCCTAAAGGCCACAGCCCTGTCTATTTCAAAGATGACACTTCTGCTAATGACATTCACAATTTGCTTTTGTTTTGGGAAATGGGGGAAAATGGGAACTTTGTACAAATAGTCCAACAGGGGCTGGCTGGGAAATATCACGTGGAAATGGGGGCAGGAGTAAATGGGGGAAAGAAAGTGTGAGTAGAAGTTGAGTAAGAGCCAGAATCTCCAAGTGGCCTGGAAGATGTTCCACCCACGGCCTCATGTGCTTGTGAGAACACTGCAAACATCTGTGGATACATTAACAGACCAAACACACGGAAACACTCATAGCCCAGTTTGACAAAGCAGAGGCACAGTAGTCTGCAGCTGCAGAAGAGGGAACAGAGTAGTCAGGCTTCACAGAGTGAACAGCAGAAGCACCAGTGGTGTTACTTACATGTGCAGGGAAGGGCTGGAGTCTTGTCCTGCTCTCCTCTGGGTGGTTCGCTTCTCCCATTGGGAGATATGGTTTTTGACCTGATCCCGTCTCGTACATGGACATGGGCCTACTGCCCCGGGCAGATGGACGTCGCTTTAAGGAAGAGTGGCTGGAAGTTTCTGGGTACTCAGAACCAGTTTGCACCTGATATATATTGGTTGTGGCCTGTTTCCTGAGGCTGGAATTCTCACTCTGGAGTGTTTGAAGCTGAAAGAAATGTTTGGCAGTGGGACTGTGTTTTTCCATAGCAAGCAGACAAGACAAACACCAAGAAAACAAATACAATTACCAGCTTTAAACAATAGGAATGATAGCAGCTAGCTGTGCTGATAGTAAAGCACCTAAAAAAAAAAGTCTCCTTTCTGAAATGAGTGAAACATAACTTACTTTATCACAAAGGATAATTAAATAATTTAACTTCTGCATGTGGGAAAGTTACAGCCTCAACTTTTTTTGGAGGGGGGGGTTACCGGGGATCGAGCTCGGGACTTTCTGCTTGCAAGGCAGGCGGCAGAACCACTGAGCTAAATCCCCAGCCCCCAGCCTCAAGTTTTGAAAAATTGAATGTCCACTTGAGTTCTGTCATGGTGGGGAGGGAAAATGTTTGCAGACAAGCTGTACTCAGGATTATTCTAAGACAGTTTCAAGCAAGAGCTTGAGACCATTAAAACATGACTGAATAACCTGATTTTGAAATGAGTCCTGAGCAATTTGCAAATGTCAAAAGTGACAGCAGACACCATGCAAGCAGCACAAAAATAACTAGAATCGCTTTGCAAGCAAGAAAAATAGTGAGGTTCAGCTTATCAAATATCAGATCAGCTATTGATTTCCAAAAAGCCAACAAAAAATTATGATCAAAAAGGTTTTATTACATAACACTTCTGATATTCCAAACAGTTCAGCAGTTTTGAAAAAAAGAGGGAACTGAATTATGGTAAATTTCCCATATTGACATATCACAAAGAAAACTTGAAAACTATTCAACTATGCTAGCATCTTCATAGGAAGGAATCCTCCACCGTAGCACACTTGCTTCCCTCTGGTGATTGATCATCTTCCAGTCAGGGCTGGAGTATTTGGCCTTTCTCTCCTTTGGCTTTGTCACCCAAAAAACATGAACACATTCGTACTGCCTTTGAACTTGCTAATCTGCCTGCACTGCCCATTTTAGTTAGACACTGCCACTTGGAGGCCCTGAGAGCTCTTTGATTCCTCATATGCAGGCTCCTTCATGGTTAAAGGATCAGGAAGGAATTGTGGGGCTCTTTAAGCATCTGGCAGTTTAAACACAAGTAACTGGGTCCATTCTGCACGGGGTCCTTCCCTCTGGTGCACCTTCATCTTCCGAGACATTTTTGTAAGCTGGGTGTGGTATGAGTTCAGCTGTCTACCCTTAGACAGAGACTGTGAACTCTAATCAAATTCCCCTTCAGTGCCAGGGTTTAAGTCCACAAGCAACCAGGTCTGCACCAGGAGCTCCTCACTTTTCCAACAGCAAACCCATGCAGGGTTAGGAGTTATTTTCAATTTTTATTTAGAAAGCACCGATCTGTGAAAAATACACCAATAGTAGCTGTTCCTCTTCATTAATTAGCATCCTTGTCAAGCAACTGTTAAATGTGAAAGATCAGATATAAATCATGGTACTTAGTCAACTTTATAAAGAAAAAAAACTTTACCCAGCTTTGAAATAAAATCGATACATCTTTGCTACATAAACAAATTCACCTCTTCATATTAGTAGTGCCAAACCTCCAAAGAAAGAGTGGCTTCCTGCCTCGAAGACTATGCCTCATCTCCTCAAAAGGTGAGCCATGAGGAGGGCCAGGCTGCTTCTATACCACAAAGGCTTTTGGGATGTAGCTTGAATCTGTAACCTCCTTTCCAAAAAGAGACAGCTGTGCTGCAACATAACAAGCAGCCAGGGGGAATCCCTACATTCCAGGATACAGACAAGTGTAAGTGGCTTGCCAAAATACTTCTCAGAAACCCATGGTCTAAATGAAATGATCAGGGTCCAAAACATGAGGAGGTAAGTGACTCAAGAACCTCACTGGAAGGCTCCATTTGTCTTCCTACCTATGTAAAAAGTCTCCGTTAACAGGTTTTTAGACCAGACCTTGATACTGGAAACTTCAGGCCAACATTGTTCATACCTCTGAAACATCTAGCCTGGACTGTGTTGGAATGTGTTTTGAGAAGCACAAGTTCCTGGTTCCAATTTTAAAATATTTTTAGTAATCTATATGTATGTATGTATGTATATATGCATGCATGTATGTATGGATTGATTTGAGACAGGGTCTCACTCTGTAATTCAGGCTGGCCTTGAACTCACTTATCCTACTGCCTCAGCTTCCCTGGTGCTGGAATTACAGGCATGTGCTACCTCGCCCAGCTAGTACTCTATCTAGAGAGATTATCTTTGGATAAATTTTAATGATGCTTATCTTAATAAGAACCAGGCAATACTTTGGGGGGGGTAGGAAATAAAAAGTTACAGATAATACAATAGTTTTGGAAATCAAAAGCATTTGTAAGAATTAGATAATCAATGAACAATGGCATTTTGCCCGTGTTTCTACAGAAGCTTAAGACATTTGCTTTCAGATATATAAAGTTATCTCTGGAAATTTCTATAAACACTAAAAAGAGCATTAAAAAATTTAGAAGAGAGGGCCAGGGATTTAACTCAGTGGTGCCACCTGCCTCACAAGTGCAAGGTCTCGAGTTCAATGCCCAGTACCAAAAAAAAGCATTTCAAAAAGGGGGCCGGGGATTTAGCTCAGTGGTACTGTGCCTGCCTCAAAAGCAAAAGGTCCTGAGTTCAATCCCCAGTACAAAAAACAAACAAAAAACAACAAAGAATTTAAAGCGATGCTCGGCAGATTAATTTATAATAGGCAACGTCAGTGTGTTTCAGAAAAAGTCCCCTCAAGAAAATTATCAGTCTGATTCATGGGACAAACTATAATCTATTAAACATCTGTGTTTGAAAAGGCAGAAGGGGGCTGGGGATTTAGCTCAGTGGTTCCGCCACCTGCCTTGCAAGCTCAAGGTCCCAAATTCAATTCCTGATACCAAAAAACAAAAAACAACAAAAAAAGAAAAGGCAGAAGAAGGGGGCTCTTGCTGTGCCTTGGTCAGGGCTGCACACAGCCCTGGATTGAGTTGGGAGGCTCAGAACATGTGTCTGTCTGTCTGTCTAAAGGCTGACAAACCCACAGGCATTCTCATCCCCTGCATTGTCAGCATCAGAGCCGCTGGTTTCCCAAGTGCTCAAGAAAAGACTGGAACTCAACACAAAAATCCTAGCAAATCCTAGATGAAGATGCATGCAGCTTACTTCCCAGGCAAGCAGAGTAGTTTAGTTCTATAGCCTTCCTTTTCGAAGCAGCACTAAAAAAGACCCTGACACAAATGAAATGTATTTCTCGCCCCGGTCTTGGAAATCTCATTTTTTGAAGAGGACTAACTGATAGGAGCAATAGCCAAAAAATCTTAGGCAACATGAGGAATTTTTCAACTTCCTTTTCTTAGCTTTTTTATAAAGAACTACACATGCAATCCCCCTAAGTGTATGCTTTGTTATAATAGCCACACTCCTTTTAGGGGTTAATGCATTCATGCAGTTCTGATTCTCTTAAAAGGTAATAATGGGAAAATGTTAAACAGATGGGATTGTTTCTTATAGCATGCAGTTCTTGCTAGTAGAGGTGGAATGTATTCTCTTATTTACTGACAACTTGCTCTGTGGCAGGCTATGCTCTAGGGTCAGAAGGATACCACAAATTTAAGTGCTAAGTACTGGTGACTAATAAGGGATGAAGGGGGAAGGTTGCCAGGGTGAGGGTGGGTAAGAATTCAGAATTAGAACGAACAGGGAAAGCACACCTTGCGGGATGTGGGCTGGGGCTTCCATGATAATAAAATGACCACACCTGCCCAGGACTTTCACCTGCTCTGTCTTGATGCTGTGACTATGCTTTAGAACCAGCAGGAGAAGGAAACACATCCATGCATTGGCATCCAGGTTCCCACTTAGCCCAGAATATGCAAAGGTTACTTTATCTGGGGAATTTATTCTGGATTTATTTATAATCAGAGGTACATCATTTGAAATATGCACACACATCCTGACTGCAAAAAGACAGTGTGGCCCCAAGATTTCTAGGTCTGTTATAATAACTGCTTTTCTTCCCTCTAACCACAGCATGATGCCTGAGATTCTTCCTTATGCTATGGGTTAAAGAGTCAATCATCCTGGCATTTATTAACATGTTACCTTTTTCTGCATAATTCTCAGCTCGTCACTCAAGTTGTTATTCACCTTCATTAGCTGCTGTATCTTGGCCTCAGAAGCCACTAGAGCGTTTTTGACCTCCATAAATTCCTGTACAGTGACTGGTCCATCTGATAAATCTGAATCTAGGCTCTAAAAATAAATTGGGGAAAATGTTCACAATCTGAGAGGATGATAACATTAAATACTAACAGCTAAAGAATTTTAAATTCTGGCTATGCCAGCTGAATTGCAAAGTTAAACCAAATCAGGGCTTCTGAGAATATGTAAAACTAAAACAGAAAAGCAGGGTCACTGTATTATTTAAAAAAACATTTTTTTTTTTTAGAGAGGGTCTCACTATGTAGTTCCGGCTGGCCTTAAACTCACTATGTCGTTTAGACTGGCCTCGAACTCATAGCAATCCTCCTGCCTCAGCCTCCTGAGTGCCGGGATTACAGGTGTGCACCACCACACCCAGCTATTTAAAAATTTTTAAAGTCAGTATATTCTAATAGAATCATGGGGCTACAAATCTACACTGACAACTTTCAAAAGAGGTTTGTCCTGTTTTACATGCCTATCTCTTGCTCATTTCCCTTTTTCCTTTATTCTTTCATTAATTCATCCATCCAACATTTTTATTGAACATTAGGTAATTTCTAGGTGCTTGGGATGTATCAGAAAGGAAAACAAAGATTCCTGCTTCCATGGTGTTTACATCCCAGGAACATGAGAGAGGGAAAAATAAAAAACAAGTAAATATATAGTATTATTGAAGGTGATTAGTGCTGTGGAAAACAGATAAAAATGGAGCAGGGGGGTGCGGGAGCTTAAGTAGGGGTGTAGGTGGGCTGCATGTTAGGGCAAGCCTTTGAGTAGAGCTGAGGAGGTGAGGGAACACGCCAGAAGGTGCCTGGGAGAATGTTCCAGCTAGCAGCAGTACTCAGCTGGAGGGAGCAGATATGGGGGTAGGGGCTGTCAGTCAACAAAGGGCACATCACCCGAGAGTCCCCCAGTGGTCCCACTTTCCCTGAGGGAACCGGCAGGCTCTGGACAGTCCAGTCCAGTCAGGGCTATCCCAGTCAATGCCAATGGCATCATCATTCTCAGTCATGTGAGGCGGAAAACTCCAGACATATCTTCTTTAAGTCCATTTCTCCACTTCAAACTTCTAGACTTTCCTAGTCTGCCTCCTATCCACCCTCTCTCCATACCTGCAGAGCACCTCAGTGGGCCAGTCCTGGGGATTCAGCAGCAGGTGGGTGGATCACTCAGGACCCTGTGACCCTCTCCCTTGATCACACTCTGCTGCCTTACTCTCTCCCTGCTGGTCTAGGCCCTGAAGTGGTTCATGTCAGCCCATCTGACTTCTTCAGGAACATGCTAACTGGGCTTCCTCCCTTACTCTCTGAGGTAACCTCAACATCTCAGCTCTTCAGTCTTGTGTCACCTTTCTCCTGCTGTAGCCTTGAATCTCACTTTTTTTTTTTTTTTTTTTGAGTACCGGGGATCAAACTCAGGACCTTGCGCTTGCAAGGCAGTTGCCGGAACCACTGAGCTAAATCCCCAGCCCTGAATCTCACTTTTGTGTGTGAGTGAGAGTGTGAGTGTGTGTGAGTGTGAGTGTGTGTGAGTGTGAGTGTGTGTGTGTGTGTGGTACTGGGGACTGAACTTAGGGCTTAAGCTACATCCCCAAACTTTTTACTTTTTTTTAAAAGACGGGATCTTGTTTAATCACTAAGTTGCCCAGGCTGGCCTTGAACTTGTGATCCTCCTGCCTCAGCCTCCCAAAGTCCTAGAATTACAGGTATGCACCACCATGCCCAACAGAGTTTCACTCTTTTCAGGTGACCTACTCATGCTAGCATTGCCTCTAGAGGCCTTGGCTTCACTTTCTCTCTGCCCAGACTGTCCTTCCCTGACTCATTCACAGACCCAATGCTCGTGTCAATTTAAGGCACCTCCCAAGAGCCATCCCATTTATAAGGCCACCTGGGTGCTTGTCTGCACTGAGTTCTCACCTCACTTCCTCAGCTTCTGCCCATGCTATGTATGACACATATGCCTTTGTGCTTCTTACTGTAGTTATCCTTCCTCCCCAGGCAGTAATACCCTCATGGGAAGTAGGCTGTGTTCAGGAGACTATCTTGCAGAGATGGCTGTGTCTTAGCACTTGTCTCAGGGATGAAGAACCCTGATTTTAAAACTATTTGCTCTTTTTTTCACTCTGTTTGGCTTTGAGATAGCAGTGAACCTGACTTTACCTCTACAGCACCTTTCCCAGGGAGAGCCCTCAAAGCAATTCTGTAGAAGACTTTTAGGAGAGGCATATCCACCCTTTGTCCTCTCACCTTCTGCCGGTTTGCCTTGCTTGCAGTGGTTTCCAAGTCTGTGTCTTCATCTGATGCCACACTGTCATAGTCTGGCTGGTCGTTGTCCTGACTCTCAGTACTGTGCTGGCTATTGACTGTTTTCAGGATAAGCTCCACACTGTCTATCAATAGAAGCAAATGACTTTACTTTTAGACTTAAACATTTTTTTTTCCTTCCAAAAAACTACTGGGATGACTTTCTGGTTTAGCCATTTAGAGGCCTGAAAGAAAATGACAATAATAGCCATATTATAATCACACCAATAGGGGGCTAACAGGAAAAGGTATCAACTCAATGGAAAGCTGGATAGAGAGTCAAGCATTCCTCTGGCCTACTGGGCAAATTAAGGAGAGGGCTTAGGAAGGAGCTGCTCAAGTTGAGGAGGCAGGTTCCCAGGTTTTTATACCTGTAGCATGGCTGCAGATCATAAAGACCCGAGAATATGTAGTGTAGTGTAAGGGTAATGTAAAGTCATTTGATTATACCTGTAATATGCTTACAAGGTAACATCAAGTCAGAATAGAAAGCAAATTGTTAAACTACAGTTTAGAAACTAGGTGCTCAAAGAATAAGAACATTGCCATTTAGTCACTTGAATTAAGTAGAGAGATACATACATACACAGACATGGGAAAATGTGTCCAATGGACACACGTGTGTGTTTAATATTACAAGTGTCTATTCCATAGGTGTAGAATCAGAGATGATTCTACAGGCTCTGCCAAATTTTGAAAAAAAGATTTCACAAACTATCCAATTCTGTCAAATTTCTTTCTGATAACTCAGTAGTCTCTAACTTCTGATTTCTAATGTGGTCTCTTTCCTCGGGTTTGTTTTTTTTTTTCCCTGCAGTGCTGAGGATGGAACCCAAGGACTCACACATGCTAGGCAAGCACTCTACAATGGAGCTACATTTCCAGCCCCTTTCCCGTATATCTTGATGACTGATATCTATGTGACAAATTACAGTTTAAGAGGACTAGGTCCTATTTTAGTTCTTAAAATGAATATTTAAAAACATGGAAATATTTGATTACAGAAGTAATAAGGATTCAATAGAGAGATTTTGGAAGCTAAGGACCAAGGAAGACAGAAATCACCTACATTCATTGCTATATGATGATCTATTATTCTTTTCCAAGCACATATACTACACACACAGTCAATCCGTAATTCTCATTAATCTTGGTAGTTATATTCTAAAAAGTTGCTGTGAAGACTGCATGAGCCAATAATGAACCAATGTTCCCAGGGGAAATAAAGGATTAGGTTCCTGACAGCTTTAGGTCACAACATTTTCATCAACCAATTAATGCATAACCTTGTTTTATTTGTGTTTTTGTTTAAAGGCACCTTATTTAATATATATTGTTAATCCATTAACATTCAACTCATGGCTGACAGCACTAAAAGTCAAGCTGGAACAAAGTTCATCCAGTACACATCTTTCTGTAAGCCTTCTTGCTCTTACAAACACTAGACAGCACCTTCAGCCCTATGCTTAGGGCAAAATCACCAACAAAAAGCACAAAAATGGCACAGGAAAGACCAAAACATTAAGGAAAAAAAAAAGCACAAAAATGTGAAAAACATGGCACTAAACAGACCATGAAAGGGATGCCCATCTATGATGATGAGATCTACAAGGAGGAGGCAAGGAGTTGCTTTTTCAATCTCAGCTGGAATGTGCTTTGGGTGACTCAATTTTTTTGCCACTCTGCCTATGTCTGAGAATAACCTCAAGAGTGATTTAAGTATGATTTTGGTGTTACAAGTAAATTTCAACAACTAGATAAATTTGCAAATATGGAACGTGCAGGTGAGGATCAACTGTGTACATGTGGTATCCTCTCTTGTATGTTTGTAAATGATTCCTTTACAAAATTTGGATTATACTAAAAATTCAAAAATTTCATTCTGTATAATTATATATTCTCTGGAAAGATGTCTGTGTTTCATCCAAATATTACTTATTTCTAATGTTTTTGCTATCATACATAACATACTTATAACATCTCTGATTATTTTCCTTCAATTAAAAGTAGACATATTTTGGGACTTCACATTTATGCAAAGATTCTTGGCACTGCACTTTTTCCAAAGTTTATTCACTTTTTCAGAACTTCTTTATTCCTGGTTGATTGAAATTATTAAATCAATTTGTGAATAGGAAAAGGAAAGAACAAATTGTTGTCAGAACAATTCCTATCTTTGGGGAATGTGATGCTGACTGCGGACTGATTTTGATGGTACACATTTCTTCTGTTTAAACGCCTTACAATAAAAAAATATAGTGATTCGGGGGAAAAAACCCAACAGGTACACAGTAATGGGCTGCAGAGAAAGTATTTTTTTCAGCATGGAGTCATGACTATGAGTTACTGAACAAGACTCCACAGGTCACTTTGAAGTAGATGCTCAAGACTGTAATTCTGACTCATAATACTTCTTACTGTAGACATATAAAGTTTACAGCAACAAATTTTAGTTATTTAGAACTCAGTTTTGGAGTTAAGCAATAGCAGGTTGAGATCAATCAAGAGAGTTTATTCTGTTATGTCTTTAGTAGGATCTAATTTGAATTTCTGGGTTATTTTCAGGGTGCAATTTTACAGGCAAAGTGACCCAAAAGGAAAAAAGAAAACCCATACCTATGATAAGTTTGAATAATAGTTATTAATTGTGAAATACTCTTAACAAGAGCTCAAAGAGGTAAACTTTTCATTACAGCAGATTAACAAAAACCCATAGGACCGTAGGCTATCATGTCAATGACTGTTTACAACTTTAAATTTAATGCTTATGTCTTAGAAGGCCCCAGAAGTTAACATTTAGATGTTGAACACTTACCTTTTGAACTAGAGAGAGGACTTCCCTGCTGTCTCCTCTTGGCATCACTGAGAATGTCAATGACTAGTGTGGCAAACTCATGGGCATTAAACCGAGCTAGTTTCTGTCTGCCCTAAGGGAGAGAAAATAAATGAAAACATTCCCCAGTGTAAAAATATAGACGTAAACAGTCGCACCAAACCAGTCCGACTCTTTTTTTTTGTTTTGGTACCGGAGATCGAACTCGGGACCTTGCGCTTGTGAGGCAGGCGCCGGGACCACTGAGCTAAATTCTCAGCCCAAGTCTGACTCTTGATAGGATCCTGCAAAGCTCCTCTAGCAGTATCACAGAGTAACCAATCACAGCCATAATCAAATCAAAACAGTAATGTTTTCCATGAAAACAGGTTCAAGCCATTTATGTAAGAGAATTCCTTAACAATTAAATTTTTACAATGCGTGTTTATTTTTGTGAGCAAAAATAAAATGGCTCTGGCCAGCGGGGAAAGCTCAGTGGTAGAGTATTTCCCTAGCATTCACAAGGTCCTGGACTACCTAAATAAAATAAAATGGTTCTACCTCATGTTTTTCTTCTATTAATGATTTCGTTTTGAAATAGACTCAGTAATAAGAAATTAACATGCAGGGAAATTTCTAAATTTCAAGATAAACACAATTATAGTCCAGATGTGAGGACTTTATCCTTATATACAACTGTTGAAAATTGAAACTAAAATACTTTCCTCATTTACTCACCATTTCTCCTCTTGGTGGATAATGAGGCTATTTTCAAGACTCTATTATTAAATACCATGCTTTAATGAAACTGTGTGTAAAGCTATTTTATTAGAGCATTATTCCAAAATGAGGAATTTCAATGTAAAAGGACTTTTTTTTTAGGCTTCTAAAACTGGTAAACAATTTGCTTTTCTGAGGTCTATAGTTATTTAAAATCCTATCTGTAGCATGAGAAAGTATATTCTGCCTCTGACAGCTTGGAGTATCTCATATATTTTGTTAATTTGTCTTTAGGTTGCTTTTTTTGCGGGGGGTACCAGGGATTGAACTCACAGGTTGCTTTTTTTGATAACTAGTAAGTTTAAACATTTTTTGACAAGCCATTTATATTTTTTCTGTGAACTGTTTTATATTCTTTCCCAATAATCTATTTACATCTATTGCTGTTTAACAATCATTCTGTGAGTTGTGTTTATGTGTGTATAAAGGATATTAAATTTTAATCAATCAGGGCCGGGGATTTAGCTCAGTGGTTCTGCTGCCTGCCTCAAAAGTGCAAGGTCCTGAGTTCAATCCCCGGTACTAAAAAAAAAAAAAAATTAAATCAATCAAATCACTTAAAATGCTTATCCTGGGAAAATGACATACCACGACATCAGCCATTCCCCAAATACTACCAGTTACTTTTCAAACTGAGCCACTTGCCTGGTTTCGTGTTGATGAGTACTCAGGATTGACCGGAAGAAAGGGGACGACGGTTGTCTCGGTTACCAGGGTGCTGTGGTTTTGCGTGGCAAGCCAGACTAGCCAGAGGAAAGAGCCAGAGACAATCTCATCACACCCAGGGTGCCACCACTCTGTTGGGAGGCGCGGCTCACGCGTTACTAGGGAGACTTGGGGAAGCACACTCTGAAGCCAACACACGCAAAGGTACATGTCGACACACACGTTATGGGGACAGTAGAAATTGGGCAAGTAAAACACTGAGGCTGGCAGCTTGTTACTGCCCACTGACAACAGAAGCTTAGTAGATAAAGTCACATGTTAAGTCACCTGCATCAGTCTCTCGCCTGTCAACTTCATCGTACACATCCATGGCAAGTTCTTCAAACAAATGATTACTTAGCTGAAAGTAAAAAAATATCAGGAACACAAGGGACGATTAACACCAGGAGGACGAGAGGGGACTGTGACCTAGTCACCTTTTTATTTCCACTGTCTTATTCAAAGCCAGGGCCTAGTAAATACCCACTGTTACACACATAATAACATTTCCAAAACTGTACAAATTCTCTAGAAGTATCTGCTTCCCAGAATGGCTTCACTGCTCTGTGACACAGAGTCGCTGCTACTGAGAAGTCAAGAGGGGCTAACATGTATTATCTCAAACACAGTTCCAGCTCTGCCTGTGATGGCACCCTGGAAGTCTCACCTGCTCTTGACACCATTTGTCAGTTTCCTGAAACATAAGGGCTCCTAAACCCCAGGTAGAGTAAAATGAAAACATGCTCTTTGTGGGCCGGGGATTTAGCTCAGCAGTTTCGCTGCCTGCTGTGCAAGCTCAAGGACCCGAGTTCGATTCCCGGTACCAAAAAAACCCAAAAACAACAACAAAAAAGAAAACATGCTCTTTGTGAAGACAAAATGTGCTGTGCACAAAGACAAGACTCAGATTGTGGTTGGGTGTCTGCTGTCCTCCTCAGTGGCAGTCCTTACCCCACAGAGCTGAGTTCTTAACAAAGCAAAACCTGACTCATCAGCACACTGTGTGGTGTCACCTCCAGACACAATCACCACACAGGCGGAGGGGCCTAACCAGCAGCAACTGGGGGGATGGGGCAGGGAGGACAATCAGGTCTTCCCAACTCAGAGAGGTTAAGATGCTGCCAGGGCAGCTTGGGCTCTCTCTATACTTTCTGCTTCATGAAACTCACTTGGAGATGTGGCAGATGTGACTTTTTTTTGTATTGGGGATTGAATCCTAGGGCTTTACACTCAGCTACATCCCTAGCAACTCACCCACTTTTGTTTCAATTTTGAGACAAGGTCTTGCTAAGTCAGTGAGTTGCTCAGGCTGGGCTCAACGCTGAGATCCTCCTGCCTCAGCCAACCAGAGTGCTTAGATTACGGGTGTGTACCACCAAACCAGCTGGTTGTGACTTTTTAACTGACTGCTTCCCTGCTCTGTCAGAGCAGATGCTCAATCTGTTGTACTGCCAACTCTGTTCCCCACATCCACAGAAAGTACTGGGCACTTGGGGCCTCAGGAAACAGCCACTCGCACACTAACCCACTGGTATTTTATGCAGCAATTTAAAAATGCTGGCTAGAGACCTCATAGGAACATGTGAAACATGTACCATATATTGCTGCCACAATTACGATTTTTAGTTTTTTAAAAGAAGATACAAATGAAGTAAGAACTGAAAGAAATATACCAAAATGCTGAGCTTGAATCCATGGAGTATAGTGACTGAGGATGATTCCCCTTTCTCTATTTTCAATTTCTCTAGTGTAGTCAAATTACATTTATAATTAAAAACAAACCGTGAGAGCCAGGCGTGGTGGCACATACCTATAATCCTTTACTTGGGAAGCTAAGTGAGGAGATCATAAACTGAAGGCCAGCCTAGGCAATTTAGCCAGACCTTAACTCAAAAATAAAATCAAAAGGGTTGGGAATATAGCCCAGTGGTAGAGTACTTGGCCTAGCATGCCAAGACTCTAGTTCCACAAGAGAAAAGCAAAAACAAAAAGCCCTGAGAGCCTACTGTCAAATACGATAATGGATTAGGAACTTTAACTTGCTTCATAAACATCAGATTTCCCGCCTGGGAGTGATCGTGCATAACTGTAACCCTTACACTTTGGGAGGCTGAGGCAAGAGGATCACAAGTTTGAGCTCAGCCTGGGCAGCTTAGTGAGACCCTATCTCAGAATAAAAATAAAATAGCTGGATTCGCCACCTGCTGCGCAAGTGCAAGGACCCAAGTTCGATCCCCGGTACCAAAAAAATAAATAAATAAATAAAATATCTGGAAATGTAGCTCTGTGTGAAGGCCCTGAGTTCAATCCCCAGTATCTCTCCCAACAAAAAAATCCAATTTCCCTCTCTAAGGGACTATAAACTGGTGTCATTATTAGTAACAACAATTACACCAGCCGGCACTGGCTGAGTGATTACATGCCAGGCACTGTGCTAAAAGCATCCTATTTAGTACTTTTACTATTGTTCCATTTTACAGACAAAGGAATTCAAGGGATAGAAGTTAACAGCCTGCCTGCCCGGCAAGCTCAAGAACCTGAGTTCGATTCCCGGTACAAAAAATAAAAATAAAAAAGAAGTTAATAGCTTGCCTAAAGTCATAAAGCTAGTAAGTGATCGAACCGAGATTCGGGTTTAAGATTCAAATGTTATATATAATTTGGGGGGGGGGCGTGGATAGCCAGGGATTGAACTTAGGACCTTGCGCTTGCGAAGCAGGCATGGTGCCACTGAGCTAAATCCCCGGCCCTTAAGACCCAAATGTTAACATTTACTAATTCATGGAATACAAAACCATCATTGCTATTTGTCTTAACTTTTCATTAGGGAGGGAAGTGGGGGAGGAAGAGAAGGGGGCAGGAAGAAAGAGATGGAAATAGGAAGGAAAAGGAAGAAAGGAAGGAAAAAGAAGGAAAGAAAGGAGGGAGGAAAGGAGAGGAGGAAGTCATTAGGGGATGAATGGCACTGCTAAGAGCAGCCACCTGCAAAGGGACCACAAGGGAAGGGGAGTCAACAGGGATAAACTGAGTAGTTCTGGTCTGCAGCCCTCTACACCATGCCCTCTTTTCCCTGGGCCGGACACCAAGGCACAGGAAGACCAAGGTGCTTGGCAGGGTCAAGAGGTGAACCTGACTAGCCTGACCACAGTCTAAGACCTTAAAAGCTGTGCCAAACTCTGTCCAAGGTATGTATTTAAGCTACATGCTAGACACTAGACATCACCTCAGCCTTCATGCAGCTTTCAGACTAACAATGTAGGAGTCAAAGGGAATCTGGGTTTTATGCAGGTTTAATTCATTTATAATAAAAATTCATTTACCTATTATGAGTAACTAAATGAAAACCACACAATATTTTGTGCTAACTCCAAAGTTTATCATTTTTATCATCTTACCATACAGTAGTTAATTTAAGAAAGGCAATAAAACACACAGACACACAAAACCATAGATATAGAACACAGACACCAAACAAATTGCATAAAACACATTTATTTCATAATACAGTTAACTACTAGTAAGGTTAAATTCATTTTATATAATACTGAATATTATATGACATTCTAGAAAAGGGTCTTCTGAGAAAGGGAATAAGGAAGAAAGTCACGATGCAGAGAAGCAGCAGTTTCAGAGCTGGGCTTTGGAAAAGCTGCTGCCTACATTGTGAATGTGGTCAGATTTCAGCTCTTTAAATGAGAAAAGTCACAGAAACTGGGCAGGACAAACACTCACCAAGAGAGAACTCCTGGAGAGGACTGAAGGTGTCAGCTCCTGGCCTCAGAGTGTTATTCCACAGAGAAACTCCTGCACCTACGTGTGCACATGTATGCACGCATGCATGTGCGTGCACAAACACACACACACAAATGGGAACCAGAAGACTGGCTCTGAAAGGTAATTTGGATGATGCCCTCAAAGGTTATGAAAACAAGCTAAGAATCTTGGTTTTGATTCAGAGAACAGTAAGAAGAGTTAAGGACACTAAGTAATCTGGTAGCTAAAATGGCTGGGAAACACCCTGGTGAGGTACCATTTGATGGGACTGGACAAAGGCTGAAGTGGAAAGACTGCAAAGACACACAGATAACACTAAGGAGGTAACCTGCAGGACTGGGAAGGTTCTCAGCACATACTTGAGTCTGGACTGCCAGCTTTAAAAGCATAAATTTGAGGGACTGGGGATTTGGCTCAGTGGTTCCGCCGCCTGCCTTGTAAGTGCAAGGTCCCGAATTCGATCCCCGGTACCAAAAAACAAAAGCATAAATTTGAAAAGCTCCGAGGAATGGCATACAATGGGTGAGAGACTTGTAACTGTGGCAGGGAGTCAATCTTCAGACTCACCACCACGTCAGCATCAGTTTTGATCACTCCCTAACATCCTATGTGGCCAGAGAAAGTAATCCCAAGGGAGTGTACCCCACTTACTCATTCACACTGAGAGACACTAGGGAACTCTTATGAAGAGAAACCATTTCCTACTGTCATAGACACAGACTTCACTTTTAACATGACAGAGAAAAATGAGATTATCTGAAGCAGAGCCAGTGAACTGGATATATTAAACTGAACTGTGCTTTCATTCTTCATTGCTACATAATCAATGATCTACTTCTAATGTAACATCTCAAAGTATGCAATAAAATCATCTGACACAATAGTAACTAGGACTGAGAAAGGTACCAGCAGGATTCCATCCTGGGATTCACAGTAAAGAGAGATACTCACAGACTGAAGTTTCCTCTTAGCAGCTTTTGCCAATTCAGACAAATCCAGGCTGCTAAGAAAATGTACAAAATGCATAAGCAAATCAATAGAACATGTTCACGAGCTCTGCAGATAATTAATACACACAAGGGATGAAAATATCAGTTATAGTCTAGGGACACTATCTGAGTCAAGCATTCAATAGCCAGATAGACTCAGTGAGGAAATTGACACAATTTGGCCAAAGTGACTCCTAGAAATACAACACTCATACAAAATAAAAAACATCACTCACCAACTAAAATGACAAAAATTATTGCCAAGTGAACCTCTGGGCCCTTATGTGGAGTCACAATTTTTCAAGTATTAAAAAAATAATCAAGTCCAGGGCTGGGGATTTAGCTCAGTGGTTCCACTGCCTGCCTCGAAAGCTCAAGGTCCCGAGTTCAATCCCCAGTACCAAACAACAACAACAACAACAAAACAAGGGGCTAGGGATATCACACAGTGGTAGAATGCTTGCCTAACATGAATGAGAGACCCTGGGCTTCATCCCAGCAACAAGGGCAGGGGGTAAGATAGGAGAAAATATGATAAAGTGTGAAAAATCAGAAGGGCAAGATTGCACCTGGAACAGCAGTTAATCATTTCATAAACTTTTGATAGTATTTGTGCAAAGGTAACTGGCTAACTAGGGTTAAAGGTTCACTCCTGTAGCAATGAATGCATCCATCTTATAAACTGGGGTCAGCAAATTATAGCCTTATTTTTGTTCAGCCAACAAGCTAAGAATGATTTCTATATTTTCAAATGGTTGGGGGGGGAAATTACTTCATGAGGAAAATAATATTTCACTAGGTGTGAAAGTTATATAAAATTTAAATTTCAGTGTCCAGAAATAAAATTTTATTGGAACAAATATGCCCATTCATTTACATAATGTCCATGGATTAGTCATCTATAATGGAAGAGGTGAGTAGCTGTGACAGATGCTGTATGGCCCACAAAGCCTAAAACATTTATGGTCTGGCCCTTGACAAAAAATGAGTTTGCCGACTCCTGTTATAGACAAAGAATACAATCTCTTATGATACAGAAATATTTTGTGAATATAACCTATGCTACAATATACTACCACAACTGGCTAAAACAGTGACCCTATCTCTGACTCCAATTTCCTTATTAATTGGTTACTTGTGCTCTTTCAAACTTAAGTTTTATATGGTTTACTTACAGCCGTCTTATTCCAAATTGTACAGCCATAAAAGAGAAAAATGTATGGGCTTTGTTAAACAAACTATAATACACTTAAATACTATACAACCATGGAAATATTGGGAACAGACAAAATTGATTGGTATCTCCATGGCTTACCTGTCTGCCATTTGAGGTATTATAAAGTGCTGTCCATTTTTGTGATCTGAAACAGAAACCAGTAATATAAATATTGATAAAATCTGTTGAGGAACACCACTATTATTTTCTCAATTTAAGTTGTGCAATTTCTATTCTTCCACAATTAAGAACCACATAAGGGAGCAGGGGTTGTCAGGCTGGCTACAAATTCCCAAACCTGAGCAGTATCTAGGATCACATCCTTATTTTCTTCTGGAACAAAGATTCAGACATCATTCAGCAGAAGACCTTTGCTTACCTCAAGCCTTACGATTAGTTCACCCCAGGATAATTGATTATCTTCAGCCATAAAAGAAATGTTGAGGGAACCGAATTAGTGCTTTTTTTAAGAGTAGGAAATTTTATTGGGGAATAGGAATGGGGAGTGGGAATAGCTCCTGAGAAACAGGAGGGATCCCAAATGGGTTGCCTAGCTTCTAATATTATATATAAGAACTTTAATCCAAGACCAAAAGTATTTTCTCCACGTCTTCTTCTAGAAGTTTGAGAGTTTTAGATTTTATATTGAGATCTATGATACAGTTTGAATTAATCTTTATGTAAGATGTAACATTTAGGATGAAGTTCATTTTTCTGCACATGGATGACCACTTGTCCCAACTGTTGTCCTAATACCACATACTCTTCCTCTCTTGGATCACTTTTGTGCCTTTGTCAAAAATCAAATGAACAGACTCCCACCAGCACACAGGAGGTGAGCCGCTCCCAGCACACGCGAGGAGGCTTCCTGGCCGCCAGACAACCCCCGCCAACACAGAGGAGGTGAGCCACGTGGGCGCCAGCAGGACTCCCCACACACACTGAAATAAGAGGACACATAAACAAGTCTCAAAACCAGACTTCCAGATCACTTACAGCAACCCCAAAGGGAAATGAGATGGAACAATCTGATACTAAACCACCTGGACTCCCTGAACTGGCAACAAAAGAGGATCTGGCCATGTTAACTTTTTATAAATTTGCCGCTGGAGTCAATAAAGCAGCTCTTTGTATGGGGAAAATGAAAGTTCTGGAAAAAAAAAAGGATCTGGAAAAAATGAAATCAGAAATAATTTCTCAGATAACAGCAGAGATTGTGCTCATAGTGCAAGACATGATTAATAAATCTAGAGA